AAAGTACTTGTAGAATGATTATTTCAAAAGTGCTTAGTAAAATGGCCGAGTACTTGCACTAAAGTATTACACATCTCTGCTGTCTTTCTTTATTTTGTGACTGAAGCTATTAATCTGCTACCCTATAGTGGGTATCTCTTTTACCATGTACCAACAGCTATTATTCTAAACCGTAACACTGAAACGCAACGTCTTATTCAAGATTCTATTATAGATAATTTCGTATCAAATAAAAATTTCCTTTTCAAATTTTTGATATTTTTTAAAATAAAGTTTCTTTGCGAACAAAACAAAAATGCCATTTTTAATTTTCGCTCATCTTGGTAGATTGACTTCGGTCATTTGATATACGGGATGACAATTTGAAAACTCAAATAGCTAAATCTCACGAACTAAAAATGATATCCTGAAGTAGAAATATTTAAATATATTTAATACAGATGAATACATCGTCTTCTTTTTAAATAGGATTTTATTTATTACGTACTATTGAACCACCCTGTTTGAGGTATCTTATCGTCCCTGAAAACACAGTGGCATATCCCCAAAAAATACAAAAATTGAGATTCGCCAAACAAACAAGGGAAATTACAATTAAAGGATCTTTACGATAAGTAAAAGTCAGAGAAATTATTGAAAGTAAGAGCATTAAAGAACGAATGCAAACTCAGAGCTGCTACTGACGAAAAATTAGTATGTGGAATTTTCACCTACAACAAATTATTTATTTCTACAAAACACGCTTATCTAATTTCAATTTAACCTATTATGATATTGCTACTAAGAAAAATAAGTGCTTTTCAAAGCATGAGCGTATTAGTAAAAGGGGATCGTGTGAAATAGCACCATGCATTTATAAATTTCTCCAGTCATACAATAATAATAATAATAATAATGTCCAGATTGTCTCGATCTACAGGGTGTGGAGGGCCAAATAAAATTCTATTAAAATAGCTATGCTATTACTGATGGTGGTGCAAAGCAAAAATATAGAAATCATAAACTTGTGTTACTTGGAGTCTTACCACGGTCAAAATTAAGGATATTATGTATACAGCTGCACATATGCTATATATCACCGATTTCCCTGAGTCTAGGGGAATATGCAACAATGTTCCAGGCCGAATAAACAGCCGTACAACACTGTGCAAGAGAAATAATGAATCAGCAATAATCAGGCAAAACTATTGTCATCTACTCTGATAGCCAAGCAGCTCTAAAGGCAATTCTCTCACCAGAAATCAAATCAAGACTGGTGAAAGGCGATGAAAAGGTCAAATAATTAGCCCTAGAAGGCTCAGACAAGGTCATAACAGGCCCCGAACCCATCTGTGGAGTGCATTGTGCGATATATCCATCACACAATTGACGTAAAAAGTTTCAGGAATGGTGAAAGGAATGGTGAAACAACCATCCAGGTATGAGACATGCCAAAGAATTAATTAAGGAACCAAGGGCACTATACCTAGGAGCATATCAAATAGAAGAGGGAGATTTACCTAACTTAAAGTCACTCCAAATCCTACACTTCCTTGAGAAGATAGGATTGGAAGGGTCGTTATATGAATTGAGACATTTCCTTGTAGGGTTGCCACCTTTTTGAAAAGTGAATAAAGGACTATGATGCTGATAAGGTATCCGGTATACCAAAGGTCCTCATCCTTCTACTAAACCTCTAAAAAAATTCCTCCTCCTCCTCCTATCGAGCTTCTAAAAAAAGTTATCAGCTTGTATATTTTTGTACAAGCCAGGTCACTTTCCCCTTTCAAAGATATCGAAGTGTAAATAGGACATATGCCGTAAAAAAGGACATTTTAAGCTTTAAAAAGTCGCAAGAAGATTTTGCTTTTTCAAAAAATGACAGGTGGCAACCCTATTTCCTTGCTGCATTAGCGACAGAAGGGGACACATTAGATCTTTTAGGTCGCAGTGTATTAACACCCCATTCCCAACATAACATAAGGAACTGTCGACCAAGTTCACGAAATACCTACTGAATTAAAAACGACAAATCGTTAGAATAACAGTAGGTCTTCTTACTGGACACTGTCGCCTAAGAAAGCATTTAAGAGTAATCAATCTAGTAGAAGAAGCAACAATGCAGGTTCTGTGAAGAATAAGAGAAAACATCAAAACCAAGCTAGACGACAGACATATTCCCAATAACGGAGTCCCACGATAGATCTGAAAAGGACGTATTGGATAAGGATAAATTATGTTCAACTCCTTTAAAGTCTAAATCTATACTATATTACATGCTGGAGACTTCTTTCTACCCTTACAACTGCTAACTACCTTCAGATGACGGAGTGAAATGATAAGGATCAAAGTATGTAAACTGAATCATCTTCAAGGATATTATCGATTAATAAATCTGAAGAGACACACGCTAAATTTAAAGACTGTCCAACTGCATTGTCTAAATCTCGAGCCAACCAAGATAAACGTGCAAAATATAAAGACCTACTCGTTCTAACTGAAGGAAGAAGCCCCCATCAAAATAAAAGAACACAAAACATTTTAGGAGTCACTTCCTCTAAATAATAATGATACATTATTTCCTTCGTTTCAAATATTTATTGATTTTCGGTATAGAGTAACTTTTATGTTTTTATGAATTTCACATTGTTTTCATGTTTAAAGGTATTTGTTCGAATCCTAAAATTTTTTTATTATCTACCTATTTCGTAATTATCCACATAGCAAAAGTGGCAATGTGTATCTTATTTAAAATATTTTTTTTTTATAATCTGAGGTGAGTAACCGTGAAATCGTCAGCTAACAGCCATTGACTACGCCTCCTGTATTCACATACAAAGAAAGAATTCCAACAACTGCACTACGTATCACCCTAAAAGGTCGTTCAAAAACTTTAAATCTTCGCCTGAAATAGTACAAAATACGAGATAGAACACTACGTGTTTTGAAGGGCAAATCATCGAAAAGCATTTTTTTTTTTAATTAGCTTTCCAAAATATGACATATGACAAGTAGGGGGTTGTTATTTTTTTATGAAGTGGTGCACAGGTGGTTGATGTAGGCGAGTTCTATTTTGTCATTTAGTTCCTCTTCGTATCCTAGAAATGGTTTCCAGTATTTTTGATATCATCTTAGTTCATGAGATATGGCCATTGTAAGTTTTTAAGTTGTATCTCGTATGTACTAAAGTAGTGCAATCTGCGGTTAGTACTTGGATGTGTGGCCGCTAGGGAAATGACGTATATACTGCCCTTATAACTGCAACGTACTGTCGAAAGTAGTATCATATAATCATAGCTTGCAGGCGTTATTTCAAAAAGATATTTAGATATTTTTTTCGTAGCCTGCTAAATAGCAGGTCTCGAATCAATAGATATTGAACTCGTTAAAGTTGTTAACCTTTTGGATAGGGTATCATAATAGTAGTAGTTATAAATAAGGCACCGTTGAACAAAATATAAACACACTCTATAAAAGTTACTACGTTTGAAAGAGTGAAATAAATGAAAAGATATGACTATCTGGAGAATTTCCAGTTGGAATTTTGTAAAAAAAGAAAGAATTCCGAAACAAGCAGAATTAATCAAATGGCATTTAAAAATTAATTAAAATGTTATCTCTTAATTTGTACAGTCTTTTTCTGACTAACCATTAAAAAATCAGCTAATAATGTATCTAATGCATTTTTTACCACTGATAAAGCACAAATTAAGACAATTTAAAAAATTATTATTCACGATTATCGTACCGTCGCATTGTAAGAATGGCAGACGATAAGAAGGCAGAGGTATTAGTGTTTGCAAATACTCTTCATAACTATTTTGATAAAAATGTTTTGATTGGCTTTGAAAAATAAAATTACTTTATATTGAGTCATGCAAACTGATAAACGATGAACTAATTATGATTGAACACGATTTAAGATGTGTTTATTAAAATTTTAGAATTAAAAAAAAATGCATAAAGCTGATAATTCATTATTATTACTACTAATAGATCACGATAAAACAAAGCATTGTTAAAGAAAAACATATTATATTGAGTCACGAATTTTATTTTTAAATAGTATTATCAATTATTTCTGCGGAAGACGTAGGGCATATCTTTTAGTAGCCTGTTTTTGCATCCCCGATGCAATGAGAGAATCAATCGTGTTTGTAACCGAAAGGCATACAATTCAGTGGTATGCGGATGGTTCCAAAATCACAAATGGAACAGGAGTAGAAGTGTATGAGCCAGATACTTTGAAAGTTTGGGTAACACCGAGGGGCCGAAATCATCATCGAAATCACTTCGAAATTACTTCGACGCTCAAAAATGTAAATGCAACAGCTTTGACTTTGAGTGGTTTTTCCTCGGGTAAGCACTGAGCTCTTACGTAATCACTTCAAAAAAAAATGTGATTGCTAAAAGAGAAACCGAATCAGAGTTCATAGGAACCATTTCATGGAATTAAAGAGTGCTGCGAAGAGAATAATTTCAAACTGGACCGAGAGTATAACCCTGATGTACTGAAGGTATATATCAGGGCTCTCATTCGAAGTCATTTATACCCAACCCTACAACGAATGCATCTGCTCAGGTCCTGGTATGTAGGATAAACCATATCAATGAAAAGGTTGGGTCTGAAACAAATATCGGACTCTCGATTTTGCTGCATGCAAGAGGAATCTGCATAGCACATTCTAGGCGTCTACTCGGCTTTGGAAAGAACTACATTGCATGCTTTCGGATTTACCCAACTCAAACCTATACAGGCTAAACAAGTCTTGCTCAACCAAACAATGGCTTTCGTAAAAATATGTTGTCCCTATAGTAAATATATATAATATAGATATGCGTCAAAATAGATATTCTTTGGGGTCGCAGTGGAAGGAGATGTTACCATCACCGTCACACCCATTTTCAACCTAAACCTAAACAAAATAAAATTTCAGAATATACCGTTGATGATTATAAAGCTGACGTGAACACATTCACCAGAAAAATTTATTTAATAAAAAATAAATCCGAATACTTACTGCACCACATGAGGTTCCTCTTGCGGCATATTCTTATCTGGTATTGTTACTGCCCTATACTGTAAAGAGTTGTAGGTTTTCCAAAATAAATATTCCCTAAAATGTAAACTTTGCTTAGAAACACTTCAAATAAAATATGTTTTCAATAATGCCAAGCAACATCCTTATGCAAAATCGTTTACTGGTACAAAACTTATCATGATTGAATGGCTGACATGAACTAAAAGGTAAAAAGTTTCATTTTGGTATTTTTTTTCTACCTGGCCTCGTTTGACTCAGGGGTGGCGCATATACGGGGGAGTAATGGGGCTAAGTATGCTCTAGAATTTTTAAACCTAACCTTTTATAGGTATTATTATCAAAAATGAAGTATTAAAAATTAAACTTTATTACCACTAACCCCCAGACTTAAACTTTCGATGCGCCACTGGACACTGACTTAATATCCGATAACTCTAAAGCCTAATGGCTTATTAGTATATTAAAAGTAAAGTTACAAACTAGATGATCGAAATTATTTGTGTGCAACAATGGTGTAGGCAATATATTAAATAGAAAAAAAACTTTGAAGGAGTTGATTCAAACTTATTCTGCATAAGGACGTTTGTATATCTTTTAGTTTATCGGTGATAATAATTTTTTTACCTATAATATTTTAGACCTTCATACAGTGCTGCCATGAAGAATATACCAATCATTGAACCAATTAAGCCGCCTATTGAGGTGAATTTCCAATCTTTAAACAGTACAGTCGCTTCTGATGAAAAAAAAAACTGAAATTAAATATATTATTAGGTATTAATAATTAGTACGAGATCAAATTAAATTCGAAATCAAGTCCACAATTTGATAAAAATAAGGCGACCTGTTTCGACTAATAGCCATCATCAAGCCTGCAATAAATATCTAATAACAAGCATAACATTAATACTCTCCCTATTCACCTCCTTACGAGGGAATTTTAAACCCAGAAGCAGAGCTTCCATTTGACTTACAACTAAGAAAAATCCCACCCATCATTATTAGCATAAACGTTCTTAATTAATTGAAACCAAATTAATATTCGTTTTATGAATATTGTTTGATAAAATATTAACTTTTGATTGTTTGAATAAAAAATAAAATAAAAATTGACGAATTTGGACAAACTTACAAACATAGGCATATTCATAATCATTGTCATGTTCATATCGTCCATATCGCCATCGCCCATTTTCATGCTGTGTGGCTCACTGTTGTGTGCCATATGGTGAGCGTGGTGATCGTGGTGATTTTGATGGTCCATATTTTCTAAAAATTAAAAAATTACATTTGAAAAACCTCTAAAACAAACAATAATGGACAGGGTCGAGTTGTCTCCCGGGTTGCCTTTCAAAAAAAAAGAGAAAAATTAAAAAAAAAATATTTACTAATTTACCATGCGATCTAAAGCTATCGAGGGTTGCTTCGCAAATAAATTATACATAAAATTAGAAAAACTTAAAATAATTTACCTAAAATGTCCCATTTAAAATCTACCTGTCATCAGGTATGAGAGACAATTCGACTCCTCTAGGGAGACAACTCGGGACCACAAAAAAAAAGACCTGTTAAATTCGAGAGACAACTCAATCCTACCGACCATGGGTAAAAGATAATATTCCTCTACGTTCCTTTATAGATTATTCATCTGTATATAAAAAAAAAATCTAGAATTAGATTCCATTTCCACAATAATTACTAATAAAACGCTCATTATTTTTGTTCGATATTTAGAAGATGTGAATTAGACCGTAATATCATGAATTAGACCTATTTTACTAAATCATGACAATGCCGTTATTAGTGTCGACGTAAAAAATGTTAAATGTAATGCCGGGCAATGCGATAGCTCAAATGAAAGGATTTTTTTATTCTACAATTAATTATAGATAAGATCGTTTATATGAGTGCCTTTACAATAAGTGGTAGCTCTTTGTTTCAGTAATTTTGGAATACCTTGTATCTCACTCTGCTTTTCATTCTAATATAATACACTCAATGAGTACATGCTTAAAATGTGCCCTGTGTAGACCAAGAGTCAGACACTCTTGTTCATTGTTTTCTTTACCTGTTTTTTTTTTTGAGGATATCGCCAACATAATATCTTTCTTTATCAAAAATTATGTATTGTCATGAAATTGAAATTCATAATCCGACCCTGTGTACGCACGCAACCTTCACATGGCAACCGACTCGTGATCGAAGCAACGCTGACGTATGGAAACAGCCGGCCCGCGTCTCGAATATACAATAATACGACGGAATGCCTGCCGCTGATGTACTAGAAATAGCTGGAACGGCGGGGAGTGCCGTTTAGTCATACAAATGGAATGTTCGAGAGCCTCTCGTATCTTCCAGTAGCGGAGTTGGATTAATATAAATAACCGACGTATCGGCGCCCAGTTAGTGGATTATAGACAGTTGAATATAGAACATTGTAATGAAAAGTTAAAGTGTAAGAAATAAATTAGAATTGTTAGTTAGTGTCTAAGTATTATATAAATTAAATAGTACGTCTGAAATAAATTGTAAATAGTGTTTTTAAATAAATAAACTAAAAATAAATTAGACTTTCGTCACAGTATATAGGCCTTAACATCCAAAATTTGATTTTGATATAATCAATAGTTCTCGGCTTGAAGAAATTATATAATTAAGTCACAACCGCAAGTCAATCGGCGTGGGGATAAGAAAATGTTTTCGTTGTCATGAATGCAATACCGAGGCCCCATAGGGCTCAGTAAAATCACTGCATGAGTTCAGTAAGTGTCCCCAGATCATTTCATTAGCGATTTTATAAAAAATTAACATTTAAGTATATTTAATTATTATGAAAAACCATTGTTCAATCAATATCAGATTACGTGGTTCATCTTATCACACAATTATTTATTAAAAATAAAATTGTGATAACAATAATTATTTTAATGTCTGGTTAGACAAGTGGTGCGAATAAGCGTATTGTTACCATCATATCAATAATCGTTTATTGAAATAAAGGTTAAAGGTTAATAGGATAAAGTAACCAAGATTTATTTTAGTTAGAGTTTTAAATTAGTTTCGTATAAACGGACATAGAAACTAATACAAAAGGGGAAACATTTATTACACCTGCCACCTATTTCAGAAACGGCAGGAGTAATAAATGTTTCTCGTATTGTATTAAATTGTAATTAATGTGTAATAAATTCCCATGTAGTTATTTTGTCGTGTTGTATAAGTGCTGGTTAGCCCTATACGAAACCTGGCCCACAACCTAATATTTCGAAAAAGGCAGGTGTAATAAATGTTTCTCCTATTGCATTAAATTGTAATTAATGTGTAATAAATTCCCACGTAGTTATTTTGTCGGTGTTGTATCAGTGCTGGCCAGCTTTAGACGAAATCTGGCCCACAACCTAATATTTCGGAAACAACAGGTGTAATAAATTGTTTCTCCTATTGTAATTAATGTGTAATAAATTCCCCCGTAGTTATTTTGTCGGTGAAATATAAGTCTGGACCAGCTTTAGACGAAACCTGGCCCACAATCTAATATTTCGGAAACGGCAGGCGTAATAAATGTTTCTCCTATTGTAATAAATTGTAATTAATGTGTAATAAATTCCCCCGTAGTTATTTTGTCGCTATTGTATAAGTGATGTTGCAGCTTCAGAAGATACCTGGCCCGTAGCCTAATATTTCGAAAACAGCCGGTGTAATGTTTCTCCTTTTGTACTAAATTGCATTTATTTTAATGTGTAATAAATTCCCAAGTAGGTATTTTGTCGGTGTTGTGTAAGTGCTGCTTCCACTTCATATTAAACACAACTTATGATGCAAAAAAAATACAAGGGGAAAATATAGAAAGGACTAAAAGTAATTAAGGAGACTAATTTACAAATACACCTATAAATTATCAATCCAAAACTTATTAGAAATATATTATGACAATCTACTGTCTTTTTACGTATAGTTGACGAAACCGAAATGTGAACGCCAAAATATAATGGTGTGATAGACTTTGCGTCATAGTCGTTCGTCGCATTCAAATTTGAGAGCTCTTGAAAATTGGGCTTTAAGTGAAGTAGCTACTGAATTAAATATCAGTAAAAGTTTGCATATTTTACGGTAGGAAACGCTGACAAGAAGAACAAAGGTTGCGAAAACTATTCAGACAAAGTGAAGAAAAGGTCTCTAATGAAAATGAAGAGAATCCTCTACTTTTGGAACCGCTGTAAAAGCACGAGAAGAAAAATTATTCCCAGGATCACTCGGTACAATTCCAATGCGTTTAAAACTGTTCTGCTGCCCGCAAAGATTTTTAACTGCTGAAAATGAGCGCATTACAGACCAGTTTGTAAATTAATTTTTAATTCACGGGGAAGAATTTTGGAACAACGCGCTATTAGATATCCGATGAAAAGACGTTCCAATCTTCTAACAGGGAAAGGCTACGAGTTTACCGTCCTAGAAGCTCAAGATTCGAAACGTTGGTGACTATTATATTAATAGTGTGCGCTTTTACGTGGATAAGCGTTAACGGTCTTGGAATGTGCTATGCTGGCGAATTGATGAGCGAGTAACAGCCGAGCATTACATAAACATTGTATGTATGGGTCTCCATAATCAAAAAGATTTTAGTTCGGGAAACCGTGGTCAACCATTGAAAATGCTTGGGATGAGCTCGTATATTCCTAGGATATGCGACATTTACTTTTGTCAATGCGAAGAAGATTGGAAAGTGTTGTGGCAGTCAACGGCTAGGAAATAAAATATTAATAACACAATTCTTGCTATATCTTTTAAATTTCGATAAGCATTGTGTTCATTTCATTAGAGACCTATCCTAGGTCTGGTCTGAAAGTCTTCGCAATCTTCGTTGTTCTTTCCAGCGTTTCTTAATATAAAATATTCAACTTTTACTGACATTTAATTCAGCATTCACTTAAAGGGCCAGGGCCAATTTTGCTAAAGCCCTTGATTTTCTCTTGTAATAAATGGTTTTTGAAGTTCACGTTTAGGTTGTGCGGACTGTACCTAATGTTCCTTTCTTCGTTTGATACCTGAAGCGTATATTTTTAACTGTGCTTCAATAAAGGCATTAAGTTTTTATTTTGTCCTTTTTTCTAACAGTTTCATATTATTTTAAAATAGGTACCTAATCGTTATAGTAGTATCTACTACCCTGGTGCCCTACTAAAAGATTAAAAACTAAAACTTTCTACATAATAATAAATAATGTCTTTAATTATACAAATATACATATTTGAATCAAGATTAGCTGAAGGTCCTTTTTATCTCTTATAACATTCATATTTTTAGTCCAAATATATTGCAATTCAATGTGGTTTCGAGAAAAATAATTTCAATGGTTTGTACCTTTAAATTTTTATCAAGCTTATGGTTTATGGTTGTTTTTAAAGCCTATAAGCAATAAAAAAATTCAGCGAACAAAATAAACTGTTTTTCCCAAAACCATTGTCGGGTTTAAATTCATCAATTACAACGGGAATAGCTATTTGTGTATTAAGAGCGAAAAGTGATACTTTGCCGTTGAGACAGAAAGTTGCTCGCGCGACGCGTAGCAGAGCGCGGCAATCTGTCGAAAGAGGCAACGAACTTTTTGCTCAAAATGCACACAAGATTTTTTCTACGATCACACTTTTTTAAGAAATAAATTAAAAACTGCTCAGTGAGCAACAAAGCTGTCACTTAATTTCAGTTCGCGGAAAACAATTTAATAGCTATAAATCAATCAATCAATCACAGTAAAAATTGCAAATAATCAGTTCACTAAGAGTAGGTCGTCTAAAAATTAATTAAATTGTTCACTAATCATCAGAAATCTAGTTTTACCTACAAGTAAACATTTTACTTTCCCCAAAATTTTTTATAATACAACTGTTTAATTGCGACAAGTAAATAAAAGTTTACTATATAACAATGAATGTTTTCCTTGTGATCTTCACCTTAATCACAGTATAAACATCTGATAAAATTTATTAGGCATATTGTCGCGTGAGACCGGCTCTACTCTATAGCGCGACGCCCAGTGTACATCGATACATCCGAGATAATACCAGAAAGCTCTTTGTACACGTAGTGACTCATAAAGCAAGGGTTTTTAGCTTTGTCACCAACTAAAGATCACCTACTCAACGACGGCAGCATAATAACAATAATAATAATAATAAAAATACTCTTCCTAATTCACCCCCTTACGAGTGAATTTTAACCCCAAAAGCTGAGCTTGTGCGGGGAAAGGGACGGCTATTATTACTA